TTCCTCTCCCTAGCTGGTACTCAGCCCTCAGAGCAGACTGAAAACAAGTGAAGGGAATTACAAAAAAAACCCAAATGAAAGGTCAAAAACCATTTAAACGTTGCCAAACCAAATGTGATATTAGTTTTAGGAAAAAATATTAAATTACAACGAACAGCTCATTAAGAAAAACCAGTAAAAATTTGAAAGGAAACAAGCGTACCTTCCAATTCGAGTAATAATGTTTGCTGTCGACAATCTCACGCCAATCTGGTGTCACCAAATATCCCATATACGAGATGCTGCCGATTATGATTGTGCTCACCGTCAGCCATTTTGCCCATCCCCCTAAAATTCAACTCTTAATAAATTGCAGCATACAATTCCATATAAAAACATTATTCCAAAGGAATCGATTAAGATCTGAAAACTCAAAAAAAACTGAAAAATAACTTTGATTACTTCGTCATATCCAGTGGAAACCAATGAAAATCATGTTTCAATTTTATTTCCATTGAAAACTTGAATGAAACCTTTCAGAACATTTTCCGTTTATAATCTTCTAGTCACCTGTTGGGGAGGCTACAATAACACCTGCCAACCTAATAGTCAACAGCTATGATTAGAATGGAAGGTAAACCCTTCACTGTCTAGAAGCCCAAAACCTAACCGGCACCATTGTCAAAATGGCGCCAAATTAACGCGTAATGGCGCCAAGTGCCAAAAATAAATGTTGGATTCGTAATCAGGACCTCAATTAACCCCCATATCCAAGTTTTCGACCGACTTTGGTGAAAAAAGTGGTGGGCGCCAAATTGGCGCATAATGGCGCCAAATGACGTCAGCGCTCAAAACGGATGTTATATCCGTGATCAGCGCATCGAATTACATCTATAGGCAACGTTTTAGCGGCGAATATTTTCCATTCAAAATTTTTTTTCTGAGTTTTCTGGGGTAAGGATAGTTCGATGGTGGCCTACCTAAACATACAGTGGAGCCTCCCGGGCCGATATAATGGTAGGAACCAATGAGCTAAACTTGGGCGAACTCAAACACTCTATACATGCCCGATCCCTTCGATAGGTTGCCCGGTTCTCCTGAGCAGTCGGCTTTACTGGGTGTTGGTTACAGCGAGAGCTTCATCCCAGACGCTGTTTGCAATTTTCCCATCACGATCTAGAACAAGGAGTAGCCCAGGCTCTTCAGGCGATCAGATCTTTATGCCGCGCCGGTTTCGCATCACAATAGACAGATCAGAAGACAATCCGGCGAAAGGAGCCTGGATATAATCTTCTTGTCTTCTCTCAATCTGACAGAATGCAGAGAATCCGTGAAAATTGATATGTATCCAACAGAAGAACTGATAACGTAACCCATCGATTAGAATTCTACATGGAAATAGGAGGGACAAGATAGGAGCACAAGTTAGATAGAAATCGAATCTCTGTAGTCCTGACGCAACATTTAACCTCTTGGCTATGGTATATGGCGTTTTGGCAGATTCTCCATTCGGACGAAGGCAGACCACTCAATACATATCTTACTCTTTGCGCAACTGTCCGAATCTCCGTTCTCCGATCTTCCCAAGATGCTGGGTATGAATGCGACGCTACCGTGTTCCAGCGGTTCAAGGTCACAAAGAATGATAGCAAGCGGAGTCGTGAGCGAAGCATTTGTCTGGCGAGTGAATTCCCAAGCGCTAGGGCAGAACAGACGCGCTCCATTGTCGCAGCGACCGGATCGAAACACAACTCAGTGCCTCGTTTAATGGCCCTACGCCATATTGAAAGGTTTAAGGCGTCAAAAAACAAGCTCTGCGCCACTCTTTCATCACAGTGTCCATGAAACGTCACCCGGACAGATAAGGGTTAAGTTCCCCGTACTGTCGGATTAAGAACTCATTACTTGTGTATTTCGTACCAGAATCAGAACACTTGTACCTGAACCAGGGGCAAATCGGTCAAAGGAGAGCACATTCCAAACTTTCTGGCGGAAAATGGGGTTGCTTTAATGGAGATCAGGACTTTTGTCTCATGAAGAACATGTGCGAAAAACAGAAAAAACAAACTGTTCTATTCTTCCTTTCCCCAGACGAACCAGTGCTTGACAGTGCTTGAGGGCGAGTATACAGCGACAAATCGAAGAAACCCAAACTTAGGAAGCCAAGACTAGGTGCGCAGAATACTGTAGCAGCGATTCGTCGGGCAGCGAAATCTTCTTGTGAGGATGTTAATCCCCGAGCCCATTTAGTGAGTTAGAGGTGACGACAAAGGAGTAGCTAGACAACTGGTGACGGAAAAAGCCTAGGAAGGAAGGACTCCGGGGTGGCAACTTCTTGGGGCAAAAAGGTAATTTCGCTCTGAAATAATCTCTGTATGACAAGGCTTTCAAGTGCACGATGATTGAGGGTGAAGTTTTGCCAACGCCATTGGTGGAAGGGCTGCGAAGGAGCTCTCGGCCACACCCCACTTAGTCCTTCCACCAGTGACGTTGGCAGCAACCGCCCGCCTGCAGCCATCCTGCCCACTGCCTTTGAAAGTCCTTCACCCTGTTGGCCGGTAAACCCTCTCTAGTCCTCAGTAAGTCCCAAAAATGTTTTCTGTCACATTTTTCGTAAAACAATCAAGGCACTACACGACATGGAAACGGTAAAACCACGAACACCAATCATCAGCGAGAAGCATTCGCTGTGAACGTTTCCGTCGAGACGATAGCTGGCTTCGTGTATTTGACGACGTCTTGTGCACTACTGGCCAGCTACCTCCATACGTGATACGATCGCAAAGGAGAAACATAAAATGATCATACTTGGCTCTAGGTATGATAAGGATAAAACTGATATTGATAAAAGAACAAGTGATTAACATGATGCACGGAAATCTTGACATAATTTCTTAATCATTCGCGGCCAAATAGATCAGCGAAGTTTTTCTACGAACGCTGGACTGATTATCAGATTACAGCGATAAAACGGACATGAATCCTTTGTCAAGGAACTAATTATTCTCAGGATCTCTTTATGATCGCGAAAAACATATTAGGACTGACAAGAGACACTAATGATTGGACAGCTATCGGGACTTTCTACTTCCAGCGACTCCCTGATGATCGAGACCATAACAACCCTTATAACGCCGACTAAAGCCCGGGATACAGAGAACACGGAGTTGGGCGTCGAGAAACCTCGGAAGTGAGCTAGTGAGCCACAAAATTCTGACCATGCAATCGCAACTAAGGCGGAGGTTGATACACTGGCAAGAGCAGACGATTTACCATGGCGTCGCGGCGGATCGAACTGCCCATAATGCTTCTTTCGCCACGCCAAACCATATTCCTCGAACCCTTTAGGGCCCACGGAGAATAGCGTCAAGAATCGTGAGTTGAAACTTTGCTGAAAGAAACAGCCAGTGCATAGGCCAAATCGCACTCAAAACGGCGCTACGGTTCTGAATGGAACTAGACGCATGCCGCACCCTAAAAAGGACTAATCAAGGCCTCTTCCGCTTCCGTCGGCTATTAGACAGCCATCAAAGATATGAGAAATTATAAGAACAATAAAAAGACAGTACAAGATACCGTAGCTCGTGTGGTACAAGGGGCGAGAACGGGAAACAGGATCGTTCAGTGACTAATGCGGAGCGTGCCTGCATTATAGAGTTCTCATATCTATTTCATTTATTTTCGTTGTATACCATTTATCGCGAGTCGAAGCGGGAGCAGCAGAACAGGCGTTACGAGGTAATTCCTCTTCAGGACCTATTCGATTGAACGTGGCATTACTGCATTCTATCAAATGAACCAGCTAGGAAATACGCTGCTAATTCGCGCGCTACAGCGCGTTACAGGACTGACTGTATCAGGGTACACTGACACTGGAGAAATTTTTCCAAAATACGACCCCCTTATCCATTCTACCTACCGTCCTACTGACCTTTCTCAACTTCCTACCATTTTTCCTAAATTTTCTAGTTTTTTTCCTGAACTTTGTGGGCGGGGAGGGAGGGATATATGGCGGAAAAAGTCAACACCGGAAAAAAATCTCTTCATGCCAGATAAGATCCGCTCTCCACCGACCGAGTACGAACCCCCTCGCCCTGGTGGGGTTCTTCCAACGTGAGACAGGAAGAAATTCTTTCAAGCCATCGGCAGAACAATAGCAACCGTGAGCCACTACAAACAACATTTGGATCAAAATAGAAAAAGAAGTTAGCTGCGTTCGGGAGGGACGAACAGACAGCTTAGAAGGGCAATTACAATTACAGCCAACACTGCAATTTTAGACAAAATTCAATGCGAATTCCAGGAATTATGTGAACTTGCATTTCACTCTACTATTCTTGTAGGGACCCCCGCTAAGTGAATGTATAGGAACGTCTCAGTTTGTACATAATCCTGAACTGTTT